GTATCAAAAAAAGTAATAAAAATAATTGTCACGACAGTGGTAAAAAAATCCACAACAATGGTAATTAAAACAGTCACAAATGTGATAATTTACCCACAAAAGTAATAATTTTTTTTTGTATTGAAAAAATATAATAAAAATAATTATCACAACAGTAATAAAAATATCCAGAAAAGTGGCAAGTCACACATAAAAATATTAAATATTTTTTGTTGTAAAATAACCAACAAAAATTATAAAAATACCCATTTAAAATAATAAATTTTAAAAGTAAGATATCAAATTTTTTTTATTTGTACTGTAGTCAAGTCCTAATGAAGTATTTGTCAAAGTTGTCATAAAGTTGAAGTCAGTACTATATACTAATCCTTGTCATTCACGTCGGTACATGCAATAAAGTCTTTGTTAATAATTAATAAAACTTGGGGACAATGAAATATGTAGGAAGCACAGAGGAAACGAGTGCGAAGAAACCAAGTAGCGCAGACTCCAATTAAATATTAATGTTACTGTACATTCTGCAAGATACATAGTTTGATATAACTTTGAAAAAGAAAGCTCGAAGAAATGTCCGCTCTAAAAAGATTAAAACTTATTAAAATGTCCGCTCTAAAAAGATTTTTTTTGCTCCGCCCCTGCTTTTCATGTAAGTTTGTTAATCGAGATGAGTTATTCGAGCTCGATTTATTTTGTAAACGAGTTGAATTTGAATAATTTTTTAAATTCATTTAGTAAAATAAATTTTAAAAACTTAATCCGTTTATATATAAAATAATCAAACTATTCAAATTCAGCTATGATTCAACCAATACTCGAGTGGTGTACAAGTAGAGTTTAATAATATTTTAAGTTTATTTTAAAAAATGAGCTCGATGACGAACTCAAAGGACAATTCAATTAACACCCTATCTCCATGTATAATGAATGACTGGTTCAGCTTCCCTGTTACGCAATGGAGAAATGAAAACCCCCAAACTAATTTCAATATTCAACCTCCAAACAACTAATCAATCACGANACGGTATAATGTTATAAAAAATATATATATTAAAAAAATTACAACTCATATATAGCAATACGGTACCGTAGACTTCTCCTTCGTGTGGTAGGTGAGAATACAAACTCTGGACAAGTTGAGAACTGACACTATTCTGACGATGGAGATCTCCAGTCCAAACCAATGCCACGTTTTTATTACAGAATCAACGCCTCTCCATTATGGGCGGAGCAAGGTGGGGCTCACCCTCTAAAAAAAATATTAATATTATCTATATAAATTTAAAATATTTATTTAGTATCTCATCCTATTATATTTTAGAGAGAATTACACCCAGAGTTCTTAAAGTTTGTCACTTAATCACTTAGATTCCTTAACATTTAAAATATTACACATAAACTCCTAAAGTTTATATGCACGTGACACTTAGGGGTTGTTTGGTAAAAAGGTATGGAGGGCGGGCTTGGCAAGATGGGTTTGAAAAAAAAAGTTCAAAGGATTCTCAAACCCGTGCTTGAATTAAAAATTCAATCATGAGTTTTCAAACCTGGCCCGAATATTAAATTCATAATTATAGATTTCGTCAAACCTAGGAGATGAGTTTGAGAAAATGGGTTAAGGAGTTAAAGATATAAAAGACAATTATATCTTTTAACATGTGTATGAATTAGATTGATCAAGGATAAAATAGTCATTTATAAGAAAAATAATTGTTAATAATTATGATACATTCGTGAATCCTACATCTGTATGTGTTGCATACCAAATAAGAGTATGAACCGAATTTAATGTTAAATCTTATATTTGTAAAGATGGGTTTGTAGTTGGAAGGGTTTGGTGTCAAACTCTCCTAAAAAATCCATCCAAACATGCTCTTGCCGTCAAATATCCGTTAGTGTATTCAATTGTAAATTGCACACATACCCCTAAAGTTTGATAGCAATACGGTACCGTAGACTTCTCCTTCGTGTGGTAGGTGAGAATACAAACTCTGGACAAGTTGAGAACTCCCGTCCAAACCAATGCCACATTTTTATTTCAGAATCAACGCCTCTCCATTATGGGCGGAGCAAGGTGGGGCTCACCCTCTAAAAAAAATATTAATATTATTACTTAATTACTTAGATTCCGTAACATTTAAAATATTAAACATAGACCCCTAAAATTTATACGCACATGACACATAGGAGTTGTTTGGTAAAAAGATATGGGAGGCCAGGCTTGGCAAGATGGATTTGAAAAAAATAGTCCAATGGATTCTCGAACCCTGTATTTGAATTAAAAATTCAATCCTGAGTTTTTAAACCTGGCCCGAATATTAAATTCATGATCATAGATTTCTTCAGACCTAGGAGATGAGTTTGAAAAAATGGGTTAAGAGATTAAAGATATAAAAGACAGTTATACCCTTTAATATGGGTATGAATTAGATTAATTAAAGATAAAATAGTTATTGATAAAAAAAATAATTATAATATATTCGTAAATCATACATCTGTATGTGTTGCATACCAAATAAGAGTATGAACCAGATTTAATGTTAAATCTCATATTTGTAAAGAGGGGTTTGTAGTTGGAAGGGTTTGGTGTCAAACTCTCCTAAAAAATCCATCCAAACAAGTTCTTGTTGTCAAATATCCGTTAGTGTATTAGTTAGTAAATTACACACAAACCCCCCAAAGTTTGTAGGATTAGATCTCTCAAGTTTAAAATTTTATATTTAGACCGAAAATACTTCAATCAAAGATAAAATATTAAATATTTTAAATTTTAAAACAAAAATTCACGTTATATTAGACCATTTATTGAAATAAAATCAAAAATAAAAACTATTATTTTCTTAAAAAATCAAAATTAATATACAATTATACAATCTGTTCTAAAAAAACAAAAAAAATCAAACAAAAGGTCTAAGTCATTCATAATAGAACATGAATTTTACAACTAAAATTCATGTTTTATTATGTCATTTTGTTAAAGTAAAATCAAAAATAAAAATTTAATTTTTCTAACAAAATTATAATTTATATACAATTATACTATTTATTAGAATAAAACTAAAAAAATTATTTTAACATTAATTGAGGTAACTTGGTCGTTTAAATGACCAAATTAAATTCCAATCGATAGTATATTTTTTTTAATTATGATTTTTTTTAGAAAAAATAGATTTTTATTTTTAATTTTATTTCAATGAATGTCATAATATAATATAAATTTTGGTTGTAAAATTTAAAATATTTGATAATCTATCTTTGATTGGAGTATTTTTTATCTAAATATAACATTTTAAATTTGAGGAATTTAAGTATTACACCTGCATCAGCTGGACTCTATTAATTTAAAAGGGAGCAAGATTAGGATAATTTTTTTTAATTATTTATTGAACTATGCATGCATTTTTGTTTTACTTTTTTTTTTTAATTATTTCATGTAATTAAATTGTATCGAATGGTAATGTACATACGTCCCTTCCTAACTAGGTATAATTTTATTTGGAATCAATAAAACTCCCTCGTGCTGTCGAGGTTTACCCAAAAAATAAAAGTATTCCACGCCTACAAATTTTAGGGAGTCTGGAAGTAATTTATTAATGAATATGTTAACGAACATTGACGATATGGGTCTAAGTGTTACACACGTACAAACTTCAGAGAATCTGTGTGTAATATTTGAAATATAAAAGAATTTAAGTGATTAAGTGACAAATTTCAAAAAAACTAAATTTAATTCTCTCTACATTTTATCATAACAATTAGTATAGAATCATAACTAAATGGTAATAATTTTTGGTCATGTTTCAGACTCCCAAATAAATTTTAAACACGTTAGAGTGGTTTTTAAAAAAAAAATTATATGAACGGATATGAAAAAATAGAGTCAGAACTTATAACTTAAAAACGGATTGGAATTAGAAAAATTCAAATATAAATATTTTTATCTAATGAGATTCCTTTAAATCTAACCAAAACGTGTGAGAGAGAGAGAGAGAGAGACTTTGTTAGTTTAAAAGATGTATTCTAATTTTTGATCTTTTTATATCTCTTTGATTTTTGGGTATCAAATAAAATGTAATAAGATATAAATGTGTCATCTAATTTTTTATCAATTGATAAACAAATTAAAACTTATTAAAATGTCCGCTCTAAAACGATTTTTTTGCTCCGCCCCTGCTCTTCATGTAAGTTTGTTAATCGAGATGAGTTACTCGAGTTTGATTTATTTTGTAAACGAGTTGAATTTGAATAATTTTTTAAATTCATTTAGAAAAATAAGTTTTAAAAATTTAGTCCGTTTATATATAAAATAGTCAAACTATTCAAACTCAGCTATGATTCAACCTAGACTCGAGTGGTGTACAAGTAGAGTTTAATAATATTTTAAGTTTATTTTAAAAAATGAGCTCGATAACGAACTCAAAGGACAATTCAATTAACACCCTATCTCCATGTATAATGAATGACTAGTTCAGCTTCCCTGTTACGCAACGGAGAAATGAAAACCCCCAAACTAATTTCAATATTCAACCTCCAAACAACAAATCAATCACGAAGAGAATACTATTCAAGTCAGTAGTGTTTGTCCTTATTTAGCCTAATATTCTCTCTCCTCGATTTGTTTTGGTCAAACTAACACACACCACATGATCATTTTAAGAAATCTAGAATGCGCAAGCAAACAACGCCCCCCACCCAAAAAAAAGGACTTTCCACGAGTGTTTGATTTGGTAAAAAGTTGCGACTTGCAGGCAATCTCATTATAAAAGACCAATAACCGGCAGAGATAACCTTTGCTCCATCGTGCACCTTCTTATTTTGATGTCTGTTAACTACCATATCCATTAACCGAGACTATCTTGCTAACCGCGAAGCTCTTTTTCTTTGCTTTCTTTTTCGAGTTTTGATCAGAGAAAAACTCGCAGAGGTTTTTCAAAAATTTCAGAATAACTTGAAGTAGAAGAGCTTGCTTGGCGCAACTGAACTGGGGAAAAAAAAAGCCTAATATGCAGAACCTTAGACATCTTGTCCTTGCTTTGGTTCTCTCTCTCTATGTGAGCCGCTACGTTGGACTGTCAAATGGTCAAAATGCTACTGCAGTGAAGGTTGATGTTGGGGTTATTCTTGATTTGAACACAACAGTCGGAAAGGTTAGCCGGACATGTATTTCAATGGCACTTACAGACTTCTATACCAATCACAACTACACCAGGAGGATGATCGTCCCCCACATCAGGGATACCAAGAGTGATATTGTGGATGCAGCATCCATAGGTACGTCAAAGCCTACCACTTTTGCATTTAACATACCATGATATATATATATATATCTATATATATATATATATATATATATATATATATATAT